TAATGTAAAGTTTGGCTATGAATAATGTATGCCTTATAATTTTAGTTGGGACAAAAGGGTTCCCATATCAGAACTACATGATAAGTGGGGCAAAAGGGACCCTAGAAAATTATGAAACCTGCATAGCAGGTGGGGCAAAAGGGACCCCAAAGAGGCAAAAGGGACCTCTAGGTAATTCAATGGCGATAATATCAGGTTTACCTGACCTCCATTGAATAATGTTATATAAAAAAAAAATTTAGCCAAATCTTTCACATAAAATTTATATTCAACAAAGATTCAAAAGATAACAAAGCATAATATTGATCAAGACTTGTAATGTTTTAATAATACTTTTCAAAGTTATAATTCATTCATGTTATACTATTTTAATTGCAAATAAATTCTGCATTACTTGCTGAGCCTCACAGCTCACCAGAACTTTCTTTTGGCTGTTGTTACAGGAAAGGGAAAAGAGAAGATTGATGCAGACTAGTTTATGCAAGTGTTTCTTCTCTTCATGATAGGTTACCTTTTGTTAGTAAGTTAAATTATCAAGATATGAAAGCAAATTAGACATGTATTTACTTTGAAATTGTTTAGTTTTCCTTAGTGGCTCTGTATTAGCTTTTGGATGAAACTTGGGAATTGGTACATGCTTCCTTTATTGTATTAGATGAAGTTTATATGATCTTTTATACGAAGTCTTAATACAAATGATATGAATGAGATGTTACGCAATGAAAATGTTATGTTTATTCTTGTTACACTCTACCTTACTGTTAAGGGGTACTGTGGGGTGTTACAGTCCATCCGACCACTCCTTATTTACCTTTGATCTCTCATCTATTTGCAAGTCATGCCACTCCAGAATATTTATAAATAGACCCCTCATTTCTCATGAGGGGAACCCAAGCAAGAAGAAGAGAAGGGTTTGAGGGAAGAAACTCCTCCACAACCATCGCAGGATTTTTGCTCGACGCCCGAGTGAAGCCAGATTTCTGTTCGACGCCCGAGTGACGTCGGAATTCTGCTCGACGCCCGAGTGATGTCGTATTTCTGTTCGATGCCTAAGTGACGCC